TATTGACATTAGAAACTTTGTAATTACGTTGAGAATCGATCGACTCAAACCTTCAAAAAAAGGACTTATTACCTTTTGGTAACGAGAACGCAGGAGATCTCGATTGATTTCTCTTCAAGTGTGTGTATAAGGAATATCGAACTGAATTTTCTGATCAAAACAAGAGGCCAATGTATTATTTATACAAACTAATTAGAGCCTTAGAGGCTAGATTTGACCTAATCCAATTCATAAGACAAAAAGGAAATATTACATGAAAAGGTAATTAATTCTAAGAAACATGCAAAATATGTTTGTTGTAAATATATGTATATACTTTTAGATTTAATTAAATACAAGTAAATACAATTATAGGGTTTTTTTGGATAAAAGGTTTTATCAAGGCTTAATTGGTTGAATAACCATAAAAAAGAAATTAAAACCTACAAACTAACCAAAACCCCTAAATGTAAGGGTTGAGATTTTGCCACATATATCTATTTTGGTTAGTTTGTAGGTTTTACTTCTTTTTTTTTTTATGGTTATTGAACCAAATAATCCTTTTATTTTATCAAGTCCAAAAAGGTAGTAATTGACAAAAAATAGTGTTTAGTTTTAGTAATTAAGTAATTACACACTGATGACAAAAAGAAGTAAATTTACAGACGCATCGGTGGAGAAGAGAGCTCGCGCTAGTCGCGACGATTGGATTGGATGCTCTGTTTCGGGTTCCTTACTTGTTGTTCCAGTTTAAGAGATTGATGAGGTTTCTCTATGTGTAAATTGGGGACATGGTTCCTCCAGTAATTTTCAAGTATCGGCGAAGGAGAGATAGGAGATTTCGAAGAGACGATGATAGTTCGGCGATGGAGACTCGTCGGGTCTCTCCTTACCTTGTAAACGAAAAACCCAACTCCGATTTCATCGAGGTAAGGGATGAGAATCGCTCGTTTGGTTTATTTAAGGAGGATAATGATAAAATTCGAGATTTGGGTTGTGTTGATGAGAGTAGTGAAACTAGACATGGTTGTAGTAATTTGCTTCTTCAATGTGATGATGATGGTTGCATCGAGAATGGAAAAAGCAACAGTTTTGTTAAATGTAGAAGAAACTTGGATGATTTGTTTTCTGGGTTCGTTTATAAAGGTGCGAAGAAGAGTAAAAGTGATGACTTTGGAAGTAAAACAACAAGTAGCGTTTCTGAATCACACATTGAAAGACAAGAAATTGAAGAATGCAGTGAATTTGAAGGCGAAGTGAGAAGAATTTCTCCTTACTTCCAGGCATCGACTGTTTCACAACATTGCAATGATGGGTGTGATTCTGATAGTATTTGTTCTCAAAGTGGAAGAAATGGTAGGAAAAGATGCAGCAAAGTTCAAGCTAAACCATACTTGGAGGCATCAACTATTTCACAACGTGATTCTGATGGTGTTTCTTCTCAAAGTGGAAGTAAATCTAGGAAAGGATGTAGCAAAGTTCAAGCTAAAATCCGAAGAGTTTCTCCATACTTCAAGGCATCAACTGGTTCACAATGTGATTCTGGTGATGTTTGTTCTCAAAGTGGATGTAAATCTAGGGAAGGATGCAGGGAACTGCGAGATAAGGTCCGAAGAGTTTCACCATATTTCCAGGGATCAACTGTTTCAGAACAGTCAACCCCACCAAGAAATTTGCGTCAGTATTTTAAGGTTGTGAAAGTTTCGAGATATGTCCATGACGTGTCTGCGGCTGGAATCCAAGTAAATGAATCACAAAAGGAGAGATCAAGAAGGGTTAGGAAAACTCCTGTTGTGAGCCCTTCACTCTCGCAATGTCAGAAGATCGATGAGGCGTACCTGAGGAAAACTTCAGATAACACATGGGTACCTCCGCGATCTCCATGTAATCTTCTTCAAGAAGATCATTGGCATGATCCATGGCGGGTGCTGGTCATATGTATGCTTCTCAACAAAACATCTGGTGCACAGGTTTTTCCTCATTCCTCTCTTATTTTTTCCATATCTTTGCTGAATTTGTATAATTTTAGGTTTGTTTAAAAGCATTTGAGACCAAATTAGCTAAGTGGGTGTGTTGCATACCTTCTCAAGCAGTGACAGGAACTATTAGTACACGTAAATAACTGGTGAAAGAAATCCAATATTTTAATTTAACACTTGCAGAAGAAGTAGATGCAATCTATGGTTTGATTAGTGATTTGATTATCCATGAGATTATGAATTGCTTGCATTTGTTGAATTCGGTTGGAAGAAAAGGCTTTGTGGTTCGTCAGTGAATGTTTTTAAAAGGTGATTGCAGACGCGGAGAGTGATATCAGACTTGTTTGCACTGTGTCGCGATGCAAAGACTGCAACAGAAGTTGAAGAAAAAGAGATAGAGACTCTGATAAAACCTCTTGGACTACAGAAGAAGAGAGCCAAAATGATACAACGGTTTTCTCATGAGTATCTCCAAGAGAGCTGGACTCATGTCACTCAATTGCATGGCGTTGGAAAGTAAGTCTTTGAATTTTTGTTATCTAAAATTATTAGTAGGTAACTAACTACCTACTATTGAGAGTTTTTGCTCATGATGCTTAATGGAGAATTGTGGTCCAAATTCACAGGTATGCAGCAGATGCGTATGCGATATTTTGTAATGGAAATTGGGATCGAGTGAAGCCTGATGATCATATGCTAAACTATTACTGGGAATTCCTCAGGATTCGGTATAAATTATGAGTAAGAAAAATGCAATTAATCCCTAGTTTTTTTGGTAAATGCTCTGTTTTTTGTTGTCACCAATTGTTGAAAAGCTGTAAATGAAAAATCTTTGTTTTTATAGTTTGTTTAATCTTAAAATTCTAATGTGTTTTGTTTTGTTATGTGTGAATTGAGGGTCAAAAGCTATGCAACTTCCTCAAATTATTTTATAATTAAAATTAAAGTTTGTTACGAGTTAGATTGGACACTAAGTTATATAATAATGAGATGAAAAAAAGTCAAAAGTCGACTATTGCTAGGAGCCAAAAGAAATCACATCACATTAAAGAAATCAACTAATTGTACAATCGTGCATTTTATTAGTAAAAAAATGTAACAACTTCATGCCTTTTAATTTAAGAACATTGCAGAATATGTGTGTGATTTTTTAAATTTCCCATCAAAGCTGGATTGCTAAATAAAGAGATTGATAGGGTGGTTTTGTGAAAAAGAAAAAAAAAACTAATTAAAAATCAAGAAGGAAGTAATAAATGTTGTAATAATTTCTTGTCAAATTTTGATTGTGTTGTTGCTGTAATAAATTGATTTTCTGACGTGTCAGAAATTGAAAATCCCCTTTGGTGTTGTTGATTCTCCTCTAATCTCATCTCTGGCCGACAAAATAATAAAAACAAAAACACCTAATCATAGCTTCTCTCCATCTCCAGAGGAATAATGCAATTTCTCAGACAATTTTCCTCCAAATCATTTCGTAAATTTGTTTTTCTTTTCTTCCATTAGATTTATTTTTCCCTCCTCGGTTAGTTACACCAAAACATAATTGATCTCCAAAAATCCAACTGATCATCTCAAGAGATTTGAGGTTCTTCCAACAAAAAATTGAATTTTGGAAGCAGAGCCTTGATGGGTTTTGATTTTCATCTTTGTCCTACGGTATCCTCTATGAACCCTTTAAACTTGTTTCTTTGGTGCAATTTTCTTTGTTTCAGATTCTTGTTGTTGAAATTGCAATGGTTCTTCAGGGGATGCCGTGATTTCAAGAAAATCTTTTGGACAAATCTTTGTTTGAATGTGTTTTCTGAACAATATCGTGTTCTCATTGTCTCGAAATGTCTCTCGGTCAAGAAAATTTTGATCCTGTTGAAGTCTCTGGTATCCATCCAACACAATCCTTTTAATTTTTCGTCCAAAATTTTTCATTTGTATGAACAAAAACTTTTAAAAGGGTTTCAAAATGTTGGAATTTGTGTGTGTATAGGGTCGCATGCTTGCTTATATGACCTTTTATGTTCAGAGACACCAAGAGGAACTCCTCAATTGCAAACATGTTCTTCTGGTAAACTATTAAATTTTTGGCTAGTTAATAAATGGAGATGATTTCTTGGAACATTCTAAGATAATGCTAGTGTCTTGTTTGACATTTTTTAGATCCTCGAGATCGGTTGGAGAAGTTACTTAAGCAACCTGGGAATAAATATTGTGCTGATTGTGGATCTCCCGAACCGAAATGGGTGTAAGTTTTGATTGATAAATTGTACATTTGCTTTGTACATTTTATGTTGATGGACTGATTCGTTTCCTTTGCTGTTGTTTTAGATCGTTAAGTCTCGGTGTATTTATCTGCATAAAATGTTCTGGTGTACACAGAAGTCTTGGAGTTCATATATCAAAGGTACTTTCATTCTCATAAACAATCTAGCTTCTCTCTGTTTTTCTTTTAATGTTTAATTTATATTTTGATTTGGTCGTTGAATCACAGGTTTTATCAGTAAAGCTAGATGAGTGGACAGATGATCAAGTTGATATGCTCGTAGGGTACGGTGGAAACACCGCGATGAACGAGAGATTCGAAGCTTGTAACATTGACCAGTTAAAGAAACCAAAACCAGATTCTACTAATGAAGAACGCAATGATTTCATCAGGTGACATTTCTTGCTTACAATTTGCTATAGATTAGATAATGGCATGAATGTAACGTGGTTATATATGTAAATCTGCAGGAAGAAATATGAGCTGCACCAGTTTATGGATCCAAAGGATGGTGCTTTGTGCACTTATCAGCAGCCTAGTAGTAGAAAAACTTCACCACCATCGTCTTTATGTTCCGCAAGCCATCGTTCTACAAAAAACCGAATTGGTAACGCTTTTAGGAATAGCTGGGGAAGAAGAGAATCTGATAATAAAGGACCAAAGAAGAGCAATTCTCTGGTAATAACCACTAATACATGTACACACATGTTTGGGTGATAAAATGTGGCTAATGTTAAAATTTTGTGGGTGGTTTTATAGGCAGGTATGGTTGAGTTTGTGGGATTGATTAAGGTTAATGTGGTAAAAGGAACCAACCTTGCCGTTCGAGATGTCATGACCAGTGATCCTTATGTTATCCTCTCTCTTGGCCAACAAGTGAGCTCTTTGCAAAATCTCTCTAAATTTCTATGCATTTCAAAGTAAGCTCTAATGAGAAAACAAACTCGTTTTTTTTTTTTATCGTTGTAGTCGGTAAAAACACGGGTGATAAAAAACAACTTGAATCCAGTGTGGAATGAGACGCTAATGCTTTCGATACCCGAGCAAATACCTCCTCTCAAAGTGGTAAGTACAATGATACTATCATAAATGCTATTAACAACTTCCTAAACCGCTAATAAACTCGGTTAAACACTATACGAAACTCTTGATATGTAATTTTTGCAGCTAGTGTATGACAAAGATACATTTTCGACGGATGATTTCATGGGAGAGGCAGAGATAGACATACAACCATTGGTGAGTGCAGCAAAAGCTTACGAGACATCGAGCATAAAGGAACCGATGCAGTTGGGAAGTTGGGTTGCGAGCAAAGAGAACACATTGGTAAGTGATGGCATAATCTCACTTGAAGAAGGGAAAGTGAAACAAGACATTTCACTTAGGCTTCAAAATGTAGAAAGAGGTGTTCTTGAGATCCAGCTTGAATGTCTCCCTCTTACTCAATGATAATACTTTCCTTAATTTCTCC